ATTATCTTAATTATATTTTAGATTTTTTATATTTAAAATGAGATGTTTATCCTGTATTTGATTGTGTTTATCTGCAGTTAGTTACACAAATTCAGATATGGGATGAAATCGGATAGGGATGAACGAGTTTAAGAGTTTTAAAAGTTTTAAGAGTTTTTAAGAGTTTTAACCAAATGCTTTATAATATAGTATAGATTATAAATACGATCGACATTTTTTTCATAAAATTTTAAGCTAAAATCGACACGTTTATAATCAGGTGATTTCATAATATGATAAAAGATTGAGTTCGAACCGCTTGTACTATTATCTTTAGTTGGAAAGGGACAAAGACTAGAATCAAACAAAACCAAAAAAGTCAGAGAACTGAAGATCAAACCAGTCTGAACTGATTTGGTTTCAGTTCAATTTCAGTTAAAAATTAACCTGTTCAGTTTCAAATTATACTGTAAACATAGATAATTAAGTTTATCTTGATATAAAATTACAGTACTTAATAATAATCGGTTCGTTTTCAATCATAAATAAAGCAAAAAATGAGTTTAAAAATCAAACTAAAAGTCGTAAAAGCAACAACCACATGCAAGGTTGCACCTCCAATTTCAAAGTCTCGTTTGTTTACAAGTCAACAAAACCTCTAAAGTTTCAAATGATCAGGAAGAAAATAGGTCCATTATGAGTAGGGGTGAGTAGCGGAATCGGGTATCCATTTGTGGAACCGAAACTGTCTTGAAACTGTTAGTTCCGGTGAGTGGTTCCGGTTCCTAAAATACGGAACCGATTGAGAATGGTTCCGGTTGTTCTCAATTTTTCGAAACTGTTATCAACCGGGTACCCGCCAGTACCGGTTCCGGAACCGGGTACCGGGAACCGGCGGGTACCCGGTATTTTTTAATTAAAAAAAAAAATAATTAATTTTTTTAATACTAAATTTAAATTAGGTCAAGAACTTAGAACTCTAGATTCAGAATTTGTGATTAAATGATTCGTATTTTTTCAAATTGTGTGTTTAATTGGATTCGTAGTATGTAATCGTTAAACTTACTTTTACAATTATAGTATGTAATCGTTTAACTTTGAACCTCTACAATTATAGTATGTAATCGTTAAACTTTCAACATTTACTATTAGTCTATTATGGTTTGTAATCGTTAAACAATATTTGTAACCATTATTTCGTATAATTTGTATTCTTGTTTATTTATTTATTTATGTATTCATTTATTTATTTAGCGTTTTGGCAATGTTTTATTTTTTATTTCTAAATAACAAAATTTTAATATTTTAGGAAGCGGGTATCCGGAACCGGTTCCCGGCGGTTCCGGTTCCAAAAATTCAAGAACCGCTCTAACCGGTTCCGGTTCCAATATCTCAAGAACCGCCGGTTCTGGTTCCTGTCAAATAGGCGGGTACCTGCCTATGCTCACCCCTAATTATGAGGGGAGGGGTGGCTTTTAAGAAAAAATCCAAAAAAACTGAGTAAAAATATGCTGATAACGTGTTATAGAATAACTGAAAAAGAAACAACAATAAAATAGAGATAATGGATCTATATTTCTTATTAATCATAAACATTTTTTTTATAAGGATGAATTATAAGTAAATAACTACGAGATATTTCGCTCATAATCTATTAATCTACTGAAAGTCTGTCCATGGAACTTTGAAAATGTATGAGAAGCATCATAAATAAGTGAATGAAAACACCAACTTGTACTGTTATTTCCCAATTTAGTCAAAGTAACGGAGTCAGGGAGGGATTAGTAGATATGGTCGATGTCTACTTTGGAATTTTGTAGTTAACGGAGACGTTTAACCGTTTTAGTATGTCACTCTCGCCATACCCGTAACGTATAAATTATATTCAATTTCAGAAATTTATACGTTAATCTATAATAGGTTTACTAGAAGGATACTTGCGCAGTGCAGCGAGATACATCTCGATTTTAATGTTCTATTTTATTCTTTGTTTCTGTCGATGTTATAATACGATTTTAGGTGTTTTAAAAAAACAATACTGATTTTATTTTTAAATAAAATATAAATTTGAAGATATCATAAAAATTTGAAAAAAGAATACATCAATGTTGATATCAAATCAACTATTTAAAAGTTCTCATTTTTTATGTAATTTCTTTAATTTTTTTTATTATATTTAATAATAATTAAGTATTTGTTAGAACTTAATGATTATCCTAATTATATTTTAGCCTTTTTATATTTAAAATGAGATGTTTATCTTGTATTTGATTATATTTATCTGCAGTTAGTTACACGAATTCATATATGGAGCTTTAATAAGTTGTACTTACGCACAATCTACTTGTAATCTTGAGTTTTAAGTAACATGCATTAATAAACAGTACTTTATGCATAAAAAATGGTTTTTAAGAGTTTTTGTCAAATGCTTTATAATATAGTATAGATATAACCTCCATCACGCAACAATTTAACAGATTTAGACGGATATACATATCGTTTTTCATTTCTATCTCATCCTCTACTCATATATATTCGAAGCAGGTGCTTCAGGATACAGAAAGATTCCAAGCTTCCAAGTTTAGTTTCCTTTCAATCTTTTATTTTTGTTTTCGATTTCAATTATTTATATACGATCTTTTGTTTTTTTTATTCAAATAGTGTCAACATCTTTTAAGGTTCGTTTCCTTGTTTTCTTCAATCTTTTGTTGTTATTCAAGATTCAATTTCTAGGGTTTATTTTTGTGATGAAACAAATGCATCAATGAAAAAATATTCTTTTTTGTGATTCCAGACATAATGATCAGGGGTTAATACTCATATGTCACTGGAATCCAGGTATTTCATGTATTCTCTTGGTTCAACTATCAGTGATATTTTAACTGCAGATAAACATAATCAAATATATGATAAATTTTTATTTTAAATATAAAAAAATCTAAAATATAATTAGGATAATCATTGTGTTATAATAGAATACTTAATTATTATATTTATAAAAAATTACATTATTA